CATGCCATTTGCGAGACCATGCTTCCGATTCTGCCACCGAGCGGCCCGGATGGCTGGCTCTCGCTGCTGACGCAGATGCATGGGGCCGTTTGGAAGAGCTCTTCGCGATGAGAACATAGTCAACCCCAGCCACGCGCCGGGCCGATTTTTTGACCGACAGAGGGTGCCTGCCTGCCTGTCTAACCCATGCCATGTGACCCCGTCTGTATATTTCGGACAGATTTTTGGGTCGGATGGCTCCGTACAGGTCCCAGGGCGCCAGAAAAATCAGGTCAGACCTTCGGTCGTGTCATTCTGTGTCACGATACCTGGGGGCGAGGGGGAGGGGGAGCGTTGTCTGAACGGGGCAGTTCTTGAGATGGGGTTGCACATGGCGCTGCCCGCTGGCCGCGTTTGCAGGAATGCATGGCATTGCCAGCCCGAGCGCCCGCCAGCCCGACGAGGAGGAAGCTGAGGATGATGACGATCACTACGATGACATTACGCTGCCATGGCCAAGGGCATCGGGTGCGCGGAGGTCTTCAGGAGGTTTCCGGGGGTCTTTGGAGTCCTGATGGCTTCTGGACCGGAGGCTGCAAGAAGGGTGCTCCGAAAACCTCGATATTCGATCCTCCCCCCTCACTCACTCCGCTGGGTAGTCTGGATGCTCGGCTGCTGGACGGCTGGGCCGATCAAGGGTACCACGCTGCCACCGTCCTTGGGCCCCTCCCTGGTCGGCTGGCCTCCTCAGGAACCAACGAAGCAGACCCTCGTGAGGCCCAACGAATAAACGATCGTGGGCATTCTTGGGTGCTTTCTGGACTGGAGCGTTCGTGTGGCTGCTCCTATCTCTTCGTCTTCTTCTTCTTCTTCCTCCTCCTCCTCCTCCTCCTCCACCCACGTCCTCCTTTTTTTCTTTCTTCCTCATCAGGCCACTGTCCTTCCATCCTCTCCCCTCCCACTATTTGTGCAATTCGTTCGGCCGTCGACAACTCAGACCTCGAAGCTTATAGATTTCGATGGAGTCAGTTAGTCAGGGAATCCTTTGGCTCTTCTCATTCACCTCATCGAGCCAGTGAAACCCAGGATACCTGGGCACCCCAGGCAAAACACAGGCGGCTTCTTGAAGCGTGTCTCTACTGCAGGATCTTTCAACCACCAGGGTTCTGGTAAGAGTCCTCCAGAAGTGGTTCTACGGAGGGCTCCCATCCGACGTCGCGGTTATTTGGTATCTTGGACACGAGGAGCTCTCGATCCGATTTCATGGACGGGGCTTTCTTCCAGAGTAAACTCTTAGACGGTCGTGGTGCCTGATATTAGCCTCCAGAGGCCAACATTAGCCAGAAGAGAACTCAGCTGTCAAGACTTTGGTTCGTGATGGCCGAGGTCGATGTTCTCGGTTGACGGGCCCAGGACCTGAAGGTGGTCTCCACTGGCCCACGCTCGTAAACAAGGCTGTCACGATCTGTTCGTGACGCCAGGGGTATATATCTTGAAAACGCTGGGGGGGGGGCGGTTCTCAGGCCGTTTGCTCCATCGCATCCCCTCTTTTCGTCGTCGTCGCCGTCGCCGTCGCCACCGTCCTCGTCGGCGGCGTCCTCCTCCTCCTCCCCCTGTTTGGGAAACCCAGTTTCTATCGAGACCCTTCTTTGCAGCGTAGCGTCAGTCAGTCAGGATCATATTTCTACTCTCGCATGCCATCCAGTCGCTGCCATTAAGACTCGCGAGAGGAAGGTCTAAAGTGAAGCTCATCATTATGCTCCTGTCTCTTCTCTCTTCCTCTCTCTCTCTCTCTCTCTCCCCCCTCCCCCTCCTCATTCTCTTCCGGCTCGTGGCGTCGAGATGAGCTCGGCTGGACTCCTTCGGGACCCGTTAGGCGGCGGAGACGCAGTCCTGGAGGGAGGCGGCGGCCTCACAGGCGACCCGCGCCCTAGTCTCTGCAGCGACGCGGGTGGTGGATGATGATGATGATGATGATGATGATGATGATGATGATGATGATGATGATGATGATGATGATGATGATGATGATGATGATGATGATGATGATGATGATGATGATGATGATGATGATGATGAGGAGGAGGAGGAGGAGGAGGAGGAGGAGGAGGAGGAGGAGGAGGAGGATGATGGTGGTGTGGTGATGATGATGATGATGATGATGATGATGATGATGATGATGAGGAGAGGAGGAGGAGGAGGAGGATGATGATGATGCTGATGATGCTCATGCTGATGCTGATGCTGATGATGATGATGATGATGATGATGATGATGATGATGATGATGATGATGATGATGATGATGATGATGATGATGATGATGATGATGATGATGATGATGATGATGATGATGATGATGATGATGAGGAGGAGGAGGAGGAGGTGGAGGAGGAGGAGGAGGAGGAGGAGGCAATCACGAGGAGGGGGAGGAGGCTGGCAATCACGAGGAGGGCAATCACGAGGAGGAGGGGGAGGGGGAGGAGGAGGGCATTCACGAGGAGGGGGACGAGGAGGGCAATCACGAGGTGGGGAAGAGGGTTGAGCGGCGGCGGCGGAGGATGATGAGGAGGGTGGGTGGGTGGAGGAGAAGGGGGCTGGGAAGGAGGGAGGGGGAGCAGGCCGAGAAGGTAGCAGGTATGAGGAGGCAGCATGAGTGGACGTGGAGGAGGAGAGGGGTACGGAGAAAGAGGGGAGGAGGAGTGGAGGTGGGAGGGGGGAGGGAGCAGGAGGGGGAGGATCAGGTGGGCGAGGAGGAAGAGGAGCAGGGTCGGAGTAACCCACTGCAGCACACACACACCACTGATGCTGCAAGAGACGCTCCGATTACAGGTCCTCTCATGCAGCGATATAGGGCGTTCCGCTCATAACGGCGAGCGCCAGTTGGGAACGTGACAGTCTCATGGGCCTGCATTGTGGGAGCCCCGTGTGTTCTCAAACGTGAATCGGTGGCCATAGTACGACTCAGTGGCATGCAGCCAAGGTCTTTTCACGAGACACTTGAAGTGTGAATGACGCCTTCTTTTTTGGGCCCTGGCTGCGCCTACTTAGATTTACGGAGAGCGCCCGAAGAACACGCAACGACGTGCGCAAGGAATCCAGGGCCCCTCAGGAAACATAAGTGGTCCTCACCACTTTTTTTTCCAGCAGCGCTGCATCGCAGAGCGAGCTCGGGAGGGAGTCTCCCTCCACCTGCGTAGCCGACAGAGGAGCTGAGAAACGCGTGTGTGTGTGGCGCCAGGGCCAGAGGACGACACAGAAAGGAAGCCACCCTCCATCCATGCCGCTTCTGGACATTTCGAGCTCTGTGGTTATGGGATATGCGGCAGGAAGTTTCTGGTCGAATACTCGGCTTTGGCGTTGGAAATGAACAATTCTCCATCGTTCTAGCTGTTAGAGATTTGAGGAGAAGCCCCACGCGAGAGCCATCTCTTGAAACCAGGCCGACGTGGACATTTGTTGTAAGGGGATTTTTGACCAAACAACGCGATTTTGGACAGGAGCCGACGCCAAGCTTCATGGCCCCCGAACTGGAGGATGCTTCAAGCGATTACATATTTTGAGCATGTGCCGCCCCCGTCGGCGCAGCCAACGGAAGCTTGTGTAGCGAGAGTGCGCGGTGCCAGGGTGAGATCCGCATCTTCAATACATCGCGTGCGGCGCGCACCGCCTGGCTCCATGTCGCTTTGCCCACGCCTGCTTCCACAGTCACCGCCCGCCCGCCCGCGGTGCCATCTTCACGTGCCGAGCACGGCCGTCGCACGCAGCGATGTGACCGTCGCGCCCGGGCATCGTCGGCGGCGCCCCGGCCGCTTCCAGGGCCGCTACAGTGTGCAGGCTGGGCCGCATGGGGGGCGGGGCACCCCCATTCACCTCCCCATCTCCCTCCGCATTCCGCTTCCCCCCCTGTTTCTTCAGCTCCTCGCCTCCGCAGAGGCGCCGCGCTCGAGCACTATGCGGCGACTTACCACTCTGGCAGGCTGGTACTCTTCCTCCGCGGGCTAGTCGTTGGAGCATGCGTTCGCCAGGGGTGCCGTCTTCCTTCCTCCTCTTCCTGGGTCGCCTTCCCCCCTCTCGGCGTGATCCGGCCCAGTCTGGCTTAATCATGGGACCATGTGTTTTGTACCCTTCTCCTTGCGCTTACCGACTTTCTAGTCGGGCTCGTCGTAGTCCCTAGTCGTTCCCGCGAAGACCTCCCGCGACTGGCTTCTTTTTTCCTGGGTCGCCTTGTTCCCTCCTTCCCTGTGTCGCCGCAGAGGCGACGCCGTGGCGGTGGCCTGGGTGGCGGTCTTGCTGCTCCTCGGCCTGCGGCTACTGGAGCGCATCGCAGTGGCCGGGGCGGGCGGAGGGACGGACGGGACTGAGGTCGGCTACACGCAGGAGTGACCCTTCGCGGCTTTCAGGGGGGCGCGGGGGGTTGAGGGTTGGGGCGACGAGACCTATACGTATCCACGGCCGCTGGCCAGGCCTATCCTGGGCCCAGGAACGGTGTATACGCTCCCTGGCTTGGCCAGTGAGGCATACACACCGTTCCTGGGCCCAGGATGGGTCAGGCCAGCGGCGGTGGATATGTATGGACCTCGTGCCCCTCTGTGTGGGGGTGGGGGGTGCGTGCCCAAGCACCAGGGCCGCTACTGTCGCACCCCTTGCAACGATCAGCAGGCAGCGCGGCAGAGGCAGTGGTCGCCTCCTGGGACAGCCAACATAACGACTCAGGATGAAGAGCTGGTTCCAGAGAGAAGCCGTGGAAGGTGAGGTTGGATGGGATAGGATAGGGGAGGGATAAGGATGAGGAAGAGGATGAGGATGATGATGACGATGAGGATGAGGATGAGGACGAGGACGAGGACGCAGACGATGATGATGCTGCTGATGATGATGACGATACTGATGATGATGATGATGATGATGATGATGATGATGATGATGATGATGATGATTCTGGTACTGATGATGAATAGGATGACCATGGCGATGATGACGACGGTAATGATGATGCTGCTGATCATGATGAAGAGGAAGATGCCGATGATGATGCTGATGATGTTGAGGCTGAGGATGAGGCTGAATCTGAGGATCAGGATGATGATGACGATGATGCTGATGCTGATGATGCTGATGCTGATGCTGATGATGATGCTGATGATGATGACGATGTTGATGCTGCTGATGATGCTGATGCTGATTACGACGACGATTATGATGATGCTGCTGATGATGATGCTGATGCGGATGCTGACGATGTAGATGATGATGCTGATGATGACGATGCTGATGCTGCTGATGATGCTGATACTGCTGATGATGCTGATGATGAGCATGATGATGACCATGATGATGCTGAGGATGATGATGCTGATGAGCCAGACTATGGTGATGATGACGATGCTGGTTCTGACGCTGACGACGATTATGATGATGCTGCTGCTGCTGATGTTGATTATGATGATGCTGATGATGATGAGGATGCGATGATGATGCTGCTGATTACGATTATGCTGATGACGATGATAACGATGATGCTAGTGATGCTAATACTGATGATGGTGATGATGATGACGATGATGATACTGATGGAGATGATGATTCTGATGATGTTGATGTTGTTGATGATGATGGTGATTATGATTATGATGGTGATGATGATGCTGCTGATGATGCTGATGAAGCTGGTGCTGGTGATACTGATGGTGCTGATGATGATGCTGACGATGCTTATTAGTATTATTATTATCAGTATGCTTACCATTTATCACCATCACCATCATCATTATTAGTCTTGTTATTTCTCATTACCACTAGCATATTTTTCATTATAACTGTTATTCGCATTATTAGTTGATGATGCTGATGCTGACGCTGATGCTGATGCTGAAGCTAATGCTGCTGCTGCTGATGATTATGTTGTTGTTGTTGATGATGATGATGATGATGATGATGATGATGATGATGATGATGATGATGATGATGATGCTCATGCTGATGATGATGATGCTGCTGATGATCATGCCGATGATGATGATGCTGATAACGAGGAGGAGGAGGAAGATGAGGAGGAGGAGGAGTAGGTGGATGGAGAATGGATGAGGGATGAACGCAGATGGAGGAGCGAGGTTGGCGGGAGCCAGGAGGAGAGCGGATGACGAATGGGATCGAGGGAGAGGAGGGGAGGAGGCGGAGAAGAGTTGAGAGGAAGGTGGAGAAGGGGGGAGGATGAGTAAGGACGTGTGATGAGGGAGGAGGGTGAGGAGGCTGAGGACGAGAAGGAGGGGAGACGGAAGGGGAGCTGGAAGAGGTGGAGGATGATGAGGATGGGAAGGGAGGGAGGATGGAAGATATAGGGAGAGGAAAAGATGAGCAGGAGCAGGATGCATGTCGAGGGACAGAGGAAGAGTAGGGTGTTGATGTGGTTAAGGAATGGATCCGCAGGGAAAGCAATGAACAACATGATAGATGTTTGCCTAGCGGAGCGACTCAAAGGAGCGAAGCATCAAGCGGACAGTCACTAGTTGTTTGATCATGTGGCTATCGTGATTCTGTGAGCCACAGTACAGGGCAACGATGGTGACGACGATGATGTTGCCGATGATGACGACGATAATTGCAATGATGGGAAAGGGATGGCGCTGGTCCTGGAGGTCAACCTGAAGTGCAAGCGTCTGCCCGCGCTCGTTCACTGTCTGGACTTTGGCCACGAGATTGATCACGACCGCTGGCGCGGCTGTAGGAAAGGGAGGAGGAGGACGTGGATGAGTGGAGGGGACAAACACGATGACTATGACTGAGATGCCGTGGGAACTCGTCGGCGCCATTCTTGGTCATGGTCCGTGCTGGCCGTCTCCGATCCGCGAGGATGATCCACGAATTAACGCTGACCAAGATGGACAGTGATCAAGGTCGGCACCGACGTTTTTCGCGTTCAGTCTAGGTCATGGCCACCGTGTTCTTCCCCTTCCAGTGATGAGGATGACGAGGCAGAGGTGCCCTGTCATTACAATGCCGCGCGCGAGTGAGTCCCGTCACCTAATGCCATCATCTTCCTTCGTGCTCTGCCCCTTTTTCCTCGCTGCGGCTGTTTGGACCCAAAACTGGCAGGGTGCGCACCACGAGCGTATCTTAGTCTGACGGACACTCACTTCAAGCCGATCACGCCTTACGTTTTCAAGCGTCACTCATACCATTATTGAACGGCTTAGCTACAACACCGCAACAGTTTGGAAATCGACTGGCTATCAGCCGAGGTTTAAGGTCTGGCAACCACAGCACAATGGCAGACGGAGTGGTTGACTGTACCTCGGGGGGGAGGAGCAATTTCACTGAAGGGAAGAAGAAGCCTTATTCCAAGAGGGAAGCTCGAACTCGTTGATCTGGTCTCACCGACAGTGGCAACGCCAGTCATCGCGAGTTCAGTCCAATCGATGGTCGTCCCTGCATTGATGCCGAGATCGGCAGGGATAAGATGGTGAACGGCCTCGCTGTACGGCAACTGGTGCACTGCAACCCGTGCTGGGTCGAACTCGTCAAATCTGATAACCCTCCAGGTACACGTTGCTTGCAATGCGGATGAGGAAGTATCATTCGGCAGGGCCGGTACAGTTGGAATCAACCGAGTGCCAGTGGCGACAGGATATAGTCGGACAGTGCACAGTAAGTTGACATGTCTCGCTAATACGCGGAGACTCACGTCGCAACCCCCAACAGGAACCATTTCGTCTGTAGTGTGATCGGTCTTGCCAAGCTTGGGAGTGATGGCGAAAAGTGAGCCTGGCGAAGGACCCAACCATACGCAGCTGTGAGTACCGCAATAGTGAACATCTTCTTCGGCGCGGCGCCGCCATGCCAACGCAGCCACTGGGAGCTTCGGTGGAGCTCCCTATGGGGCCACGAAACGTGTGAGGGGTGTGCCGAAATGGGTGCGGCGCCGCCATGCCAACGCAGCCACTGGGGCCTTCGGTGGAGCTCCCTATGGGGCCACGAAACGTGAAAGGGGTGTGCCAAATTGGGTGCGGCGCCGCCATGCCAACGCAGCCACTGGGGCCTTCGGTGGAGCTCCCTATGGGGCCACGAAAACGTGTGAGGGGTGTGCCAAATTGGGTGCGGCGCCGCCATGCGAACGCAGCCACTGGGGCCTTCGGTGGAGCTCCCTATGGGGCCACGAAACGTGTGAGGGGTGTGCCAAATGGGTGCGGCGCCGCCATGCGAACGCAGCCACTGGGGCCTTCGGTGGAGCTCCCTATGGGGCCACGAAACGTGTGAGGGGTGTGCCAAATTGGGGGGCGCCGCCATGCGAACGCAGCCACTGGGGCCTTCGGTGGAGCTCCCTATGGGGCCACGAAACGTGTGAGGGGTGTGCCAGAATGGGGGGGAACCGCATGCGAGCGCAGCCACTGGGGCCTTCGGTGGAGCTCCCTATGGGGCCACGAAACGTGTGAGGGGTGTGCCAGAATGGGGGGTGGAACCGCATGCGGGCGCAGCCACTGGGGCCTTCGGTGGAGCTCCCTATGGGGCCACGAAACGTGTGAGGGGTGTGCCAGAATGGGGGGTGGAACCGCATGCGGGCGCAGCCACTGGGGCCTTCGGTGGAGCTCCCTATGGGGCCACGAAACGTGTGAGGGGTGTGCCAGAATGGGGGGTGGAACCGCATGCGGGCGCAGCCACTGGGGCCTTCGGTGGAGCTCCCTATGGGGCCACGAAACGTGTGAGGGGTGTGCCAGAATGGGGGGTGGAACCGCATGCGGGCGCAGCCACTGGGGCCTTCGGTGGAGCTCCCTATGGGGCCACGAAACGTGTGAGGGGTGTGCCAGAATGGGGGGTGGAACCGCATGCGGGCGCAGCCACTGGGGCCTTCGGTGGAGCTCCCTATGGGGCCACGAAACGTGTGAGGGGTGTGCCAGAATGGGGGGTGGAACCGCATGCGGGCGCAGCCACTGGGGCCTTCGGTGGAGCTCCCTATGGGGCCACGAAACGTGTGAGGGGTGTGCCAGAATGGGGGGTGGAACCGCATGCGGGCGCAGCCACTGGGGCCTTCGGTGGAGCTCCCTATGGGGCCACGAAACGTGTGAGGGGTGTGCCAGAATGGGGGTGGAACCGCATGCGGGCGCAGCCACTGGGGCCTTCGGTGGAGCTCCCTATGGGGCCACGAAACGTGTGAGGGGTGTGCCAGAATGGGGGGTGGAACCGCATGCGGGCGCAGCCACTGGGGCCTTCGGTGGAGCTCCCTATGGGGCCACGAAACGTGTGAGGGGTGTGCCAGAATGGGGGGTGGAACCGCATGCGAACGCAGCCACTGGGGCCTTCGGTGGAGCTCCCTATGGGGCCACGAAACGTGTGAGGGGTGTGCCAGAATGGGGGGTGGAACCGCATGGAGGGGCCACGCCCAAATGGGGGGTGGAACCGCATGCGGGCGCAGCCACTGGGGCCTTCGGTGGAGCTCCCTATGGGGCCACGAAACGTGTGAGGGGTGTGCCAGAATGGGGGGTGGAACCGCATGCGGGCGCAGCCACTGGGGCCTTCGGTGGAGCTCCCTATGGGGCCACGAAACGTGTGAGGGGTGTGCCAGAATGGGTGTGGGAGGGGGAGGAGGGGGGAGGAGGGAGGGAGGAAGGAGGCGGGAACGCGGGGCACCGTCTCTTCAAAACGAGGACCCAACACCACAGGATGGTTGGGAAAAACATGATTTTTGGAGCCCTCGGGGATTCTCACGCATGAAAGGCGACGAATCCGATGCCACCCAGAAAGTTCCAGATCGGATTATTGGGATGCTCAGGCCACCTCCGCTCACAAGGGGCTGTGAAATCGAAATCAACCCCAAAACCATCCAGAGCTCGTCGAAGTATTTCTCGGGAAATTCCTGATGGTTCGCGTATCCCCACCAGTTGACCCGCCCTCTGGAACCGTCCTTTGGGCCGCAGATCAAAAAATTATCCCCACCAGTGGTTCTGCCTTCAGCGTGTCGCTTCGCCAGTTTGCCTGTGACTGGTTTCGGAACGATGGCTGGCGCACCGGCCCCACCATGGGCAGCGGTGTGGATCGTGGAGTGAGAGCTCTGTAGGTCCCTGCCCTGTCTTTGCCGACCCCGCGTACGGCGGTGGCACCTCGCGCTGAGTGGTTCGCTTCAGCGTGACGCTTCGGTGCTACCTGTCTAATCGGCTAGGTTTGCGGCGCGGACTGGCGCCGACAGGGCGACTCTTCCGCAGCGTATAATAGAGCATTTTGCCTGTTGCATGTGCACATTCGCTTCTTTGCGGGTTTTTACTGCAGGTGCATTGCCTGTTGTAGCTAATTCGCTTCGCCTGCTGGCCCAGACGACGCCTACCGCTCCCTGTCCGCCGCCTCGGAGCCGCCGACCAAACAAAACAAATTTCCCCACCAGCCACACGTGCCTCCCACTTGCAGAAGCTCCTTTGACGACTCGTCCCGCCGATTGGGGTACCTGGGTTGCAGAGACCCGGTGGCACTTCGAGGTCTGCTGCTTACGCGGTGTGGTTCGCAGTTTAGTGGTTGACGACGGCAGCGCTGTTCTCCCGCATTGGCATACGCTGTGTCGGAGACGTGGTGAGTCTCTTCGAGGAGGTCGATGTCACAGGTGTGCCTGGGCTCGAGTGTCTTCGGCTTCTGAGCTGCGCTGAGGTTCGTTGCGTGGCGCCATTTCCGCTGTTCGTTCGCCGCACGTGCTCGGCCTCGGTCCTGCCCGGCTAGCTGCCCGCTTTTTTGCTTGCATTTTTCCGCGCTCGCCTGCTGTAGTGCCTGGCCTCTGTCCTGCTCGTTATAGGCTTGGTTTCGTGCGAGTCCACGACGCCGCGCGGCTGTCCGCTTGCGGTTGCGAACAAAAGAGTATCCCCACCGGCCCATCTAGAATTGTTGCACAGACGAACTGGTGGGAGAAGGGCAGCATCTCAACTCATAGAGAAATGACACCGGGGGAAATGCCCAATCATATATTTTAATATTACATGGATCTCTTTGTACTTGTTCCTTAGGTTTATGTTATCTGCGAGGGCTATGAAGGCCATGGGGGCTATAGGGCTAGATGTAGGGCTATAAGGCTACAGGGCTGTATGGCTGTAGGGCTGTAGGGCTGTAGGGCTACAGGCCTACAGGACTATAGGGCTGTATGGGCTATAGGGCTTTAGGGCTATAGGGCTATAAGGCTGTATGGCTAGAGGGCTATATGGCTATAGGGCTATAGGGCTATAGGGCTATAGTGTTATAGGGCGATAGAGCACCCAGGCACCCAGGCCCCCCCGGGCACCCCCGGGCATCTCCGGGCACCTCCGGGCACCTCTGGGCACCCTTGGGCACCCCTGGGTACCCGGGCGCCCAGGCACCCGGGCACCCCCAGGCACCCGGGCCGGCCACCGAAATCGGCGGCGCATTTCACCTAAACTTATGAATCCGCTCGGACCCGTACAGAGGCAAGCTCTGATTGGGGAATCAGAAGGCCGACAGGTCAGGAAACCTCTTGGAGTCATCTTGGATCTTGGAGTTCTCTTGTGCGAATTGGCGTCGCCCCTGTGCAGCCATGGAGGTGGGAACCTCTTGGCTCTTTGGAAGGACTGGGGGGATGAGTTGGAGGAGGAGGAGGAGGAAGAGGAGGAGAAGGAAGGGAAGTGGCAGGAGGGTTTGGAGGACCATGTGCAGGGGAAGGCCAGAAGGAACGTAGCGGGACGGGTAATTATCGACTTTGCCGTGGACCACGTCAACCTCGTTGTGGCAGCGGGGTCCAGGAGCCAAGCAGTATCTTCGTTTTCGTCGTCGTCGTCGTTGTCGTCGTCGCCGCCGCCAACAGTGCGGGGATCACTCATGTCTCCCATTTCTCGTTTCTGCTGGGGCTCCCAGGCCTGCAGTGCACCGGACTTGTTATGCCGCCTGCGCATCTTGTACCCATCACTCACTTTGCTGCTCGGCTTGCGTCATCATCAACGCGGCTACTTTTACGCCGCATTGTCAAATCGAGTGAGACTGTTTTCCTCCCTGCTCCATCGTTCCTCTTCGTTCTTCTTCCTCTCTCCTTTTCCGCCACGTCCTCTCCGTCTTCCTCCTCCTTCCTTCTCCCTTTCCTCCTTCCTTCTCCGTCTTCCTCTCCCCTCTTCCCTTCGCTCGTCTGGCATGGGCGCGGGTTTTTGTAGGATGGTATCTCGATCTCGCGAGACGCGAACCTTCTACCGCACCACTCCTTTCTCCCGTGACAGGAACAAGGGGTGAGACAAACGATCGGCCCAGCGAATGCCTCCAGGGGGCTCCCGAGGTCTCCACAGGCCATGGATGTACCCACATGCGTTCGGGGGCCCGAAGATGCCCGAAGCTGGCAGGTTTTCAAAAAATCTCGACCATCGATCTCGAACCTCAGTCCTCCAACGAACAGCCTCGACGTCGTCATCGTATAATCGGGTATGTATCGGGGCCGGCGCCCGTTGGGGGGGTAGGTGCGTCGCCGCGCACATTGCCGGCTCCGGGGCCGGCTTCCACGTGCACAGCGTGCTCGTGTCGAGGGGTGCGGTGCTGAAGCTGGGGCGCGCCTTGGCACGAGTCAAGAGGAGGAAGGAAAGAAGGAGGAGGAGGAAAATGAGGGGGATGAGGAGGGGGAGGATGAGGAGGAGGATGAGGAGGAGGAGGAGGAGGAGGGGGAGGGGGACCAGTGTAAACCCTCCCTCCAAGCTCCCTCTTCATAGGCCCCCACAACGGTTCACTTCCATTGAGGGAATTGCCTCGTTGGAAGACATCCGTTTGAAGATCCCGAAGCACGCCAAAACATTCTTCTCCGGATTTCAACGCCACGGATCAACCTGACTGCTGCGTCTTGACGATCCGTTATCGTGAGATCATTTTTTTTTTGGGATTTCACCAACACTGCGAATCAATCTACAAGTTGCACCCGCAAAAACTTCAATCTTTCCAAAACACCATCTCTGGTACGTTGATCTTTAGAACGAATGTGCGCGGCGCGAAAGCGACAGCCACATTTTGAAAATGAGCCGCCCTCAATCCGTGAAGCTCTTGCAAAGTTAAAAAATGAAGGTGCGCGGCGCTAAGGCGAGATCCGCATTTTGAAAACGACCCGCCTTCAATCCGTGAAACCCTCGCAATTTTTTGCAACGAATGTGCGCGGCGCTAAGCGCGAGCCCCATTTTGAGAAAGACTCGCTTTCAATCCGTGACGCACTTGCAAATTTTTCAAACGAATGTGCGTGGCGCTAAGGCGAGAGCCACATTTTGAAAAGGAACCGCCCTCAATCCGTGAAGCTCTTGCAAATCTTTACAGCGAATTTGCGCGGCGCTCAGGCGAGAGCCGCATTTGGAAAACGACCCGCCGTCCATCTGTGAAGCTGTTGTCACTTTTTAAGCTTCAAAGTCATATATGGTGAGGAAATCTCAGGCGGAACGCCCGGCCCGCCCTAAAAACTTGTCTCGGGGTGCGACAGGGAGAAATTATGTACAAGGATTTTTGCGTAGAGGAGGAGGAGGAGGAGGATCCGGAGGAGGAGACGGGAACGATACACAACCTCTTCTACTTACCAAAAAGCGGCACTACTTACAAACAAGCGGCACACACCGTCCAATTTGCCATTGCGGTGCACGGGTACACCAAGCCACCAGTACGACCCAGCATCTGCCACCACATTCAGAATGCAAGTGCAGAAAAACAGACAATACCAAGTCAACAACGCCAACCTTCACAACAGGTTTGCTGATATTTCAGTACACCTTGGGCATGAGTGCATTCCAGTACCCACACGGAGTGGCTTGGCTTACACAGTGCAACAAAGTCACATCACGCTTGCGTATCTATCAGACATCAATCATTCTCTCTTTCAGATGCCCAACCAAAGTGTTAACGACGTTTTTACCAAATCGAAGAGAATGAGTTGGCACGACAGTATTTACAGTCAAAGGTCACAACGGCCTTACGACATCTTTTCCTACCGATATGCATTGCCCCGGCGAGATGGATTGCCAATCGATACCTGGAGACACAAAAGATCACGAACAACGTCACCAACGTATCATCGCTCTTACTTGGACGGATCATGCCGGCGACATCGACAACGGCCTGGTACGACTACGACAAACGCAGTACCACGCCGACGGCACGGTAATGGACCTCATAGAGACATTCTACAGTTTCAGCCACCAGCAGCATACCAAGTGCTACCAGTTCGCCGTCGACGATAATACCAGTATCCGCACCATGTACCAGACTGTCAATAACAACACTTGTGTGTGTTCCATGACTAACGGTGACATAAGCGTATCGATTGGTTCATAGCTACTATCACTCACCAACATGCTCGCCGACGTGCAACACACATCAGGTGCAGCGACTACACCCACCATGGGCAACAGTGGTCGTAGACAAAAGGCACAGGCGCATTACTCCACCATCTACACACGACCAATCAGACTAAGTGGAGCTCAGATCAGCACCACGCACCACCCTTCATCTGCGAGATGCTCAAGCAGTGGGTGTTTGTTGTACGAGTGACACCAGCACCGCAATCGACTGCACCGCCAACCCTCTACGAGCTATTAGCACCCACGCCCCTCAACCCCAATTGGCCCGCCACGATCGGTGAGCTTGCACCTACACCGGTGGTGAACATTTTCCCGCAACATCGCATGGTACCCGCGGCTCCAGCTGAATGCGCGTTGCGGCCGAGACCCACCATGCACGTGCCACATCCAATGGGAGCTACTTTCAATTGCAGACTGCCAGCCAAGATCTGCAACGTCCCGACGAATTCCGACAACGACCATGCATCGTCATTTCGTACAGCAAGAGCTAGAGGAACGGCGACGGCTGGAGCAAGCAGAATTGTAACGCCAGGACGTGTTTCGGAAGCGATGTTCTGGACACTTCCTGCCTACACCGCCAAACAAGAATGTGCAACGCATGGATTTCCGCAGGCCAGAACCTCCACCAGCTCCAACAGCGCCAGCACAACCGACACCACTACCGAAGCTCAAGCTGCCAATGCCGTAACCAACGACATCGCCACAAGTCCCACCACAAGCGATACAATCACCATTGGTACCAACCAACCCATGGAGATTCAGCCGACCACCAACCACCAGTGCCATCTGGCACCAAATACATAAACGCTACTACACCGCAGGCGACGACAGCCAGTGTTACGATGACAGCGACCACTACAGTGACAAGGACGATTCTAGATGCGTTCCAAAGTCTTTTGCATCGGACTCACTACCTCCAGACCCAGAACACGACATGCACTGCGCGCGAGGCTGGAAGGCATGATGATCCACGGACGAGCTTATGGACGAGGACAGTTGGCAACGCGCAGTTTTTCCAACGCAGAGGGCAACATCTACGCCGACAGGTTTCCAGACGACCGCATGCTGATGGACGAGTGGCACTGGTAATTCGACAATGTCAGCGGCGAACATATCATCGGCAACTCTTGCCCGCGCGTGCTTCCGCGCCCACTGCTTAAGCCAGCCATGGCCACGACGCAATTGTCGCGCTACCAACTTCCACCCACAGAGCCAACCGCATACCTGGCGCTCGAGGATGCCATTCGCGCCGATGCGTATTTGCCACCGCGACCTCGCAGACTTAGAGATGCGCCGAAGCAATTGCTCGGTGAAAAATGAGCGAGTTGGCGCAGTTCTACGGGCGAGACCAGGATTTCAGACAGGCAGTTACGCCATCCAGCAAGTACATCAACAACGCGATGACCGCGCCAACGACTGCAGCAGATGCACGTACTACCTAAGGAACAGTTGCACTCGCAGTGGCTCCACTCTTGCCTGTCGGGAGACTTTGCGGTCACAACACTGTCCGAGACGGCATAACTACTACTGCGCATCTTCGGCTGCCACGACGTACAAGTCGGCATTTTGGAGGCACCCGCGCAGACCTCGTCGCGCGGAAGTAGTGGCTACTCATGCACCGCGCCACCACCGCCAGTCCAAAATGCACAAGCCGACCAGTCAGCTGACGCAACTACGATCAACCAGCACCCAGACAGCATGCCGACTTCAAAGCCAAAGGCTACAACTGGCAACGTGACCATCCCTAGCGCGATGCATCATCCACCGCCGCACCTCGGGATCCCAGTGATATGCCCACCTCCCAAAGCAGCCTTTGCCCATGGGTGGCTTGTGGACATCCCGCCGGAGATGCGCGCGCCGCGAACGCAGGCGACCTTCTGCGCGTGCGTCCGCTCAAATGCTCCACCAGCCATGCCCGACGATCAAACTGGCTCCTCATCAGTGCCAGATCGCGCTAGATGGCGCGACATGCAGTGCGTGGGCGACGTTAACGATTAGCGTCTATTCGGCTGCCTGAAGACAACCCGCGACCGCCAGCAGCATTACCAGTAACGCCTAACAGAGGTCGCCTCGCGCAACTTACGACAACAGGAGAACCGTCCCGCGGCGAGATCACCGCGGCGTTCGCAGCCCCACCAATGCCCAGACCTGAATTGCCGACAGCAGAGTACAAGGCACCACTAACGCCGAAGGCAAGGCTTCCAACCCAAGCACAAGATGGATCATGCTGGAGAGTAACTACCAGCGTGCGCCAGTTTCTACATGGACATCAAGTGCTGGCTTGCCTCCCCTCCCTCAGCGCTCAAAATTTGAACTCAGTCTCTCTCTCTCTCTCTATGCGCGTGCCTATCCATGCCATTGTCATCCTCGTGTTCTTCCTGTCGCGTCTACAAGGACTGTGGGGCTCGTGCTTAACCCGTGAAAAGATTTCACGCGTCGCGAGGGTCCCGTCACCGAGGAGGTTACGGTTGAACTAGGAAAGCCCATGCCGAGAACCGCTGCGAGTGCATCACCATCGCAACTCCGCCTTATTTCATTGTTGCGCTCGCGGGCCAGCGGGCTACCCATGTCGCTCTGCTTTCGAAGGTCTCAAACATTCCACCTCTTTGGGATTGGGTGGAGGATTGGGGGTTGTAGTATCTTGGTCGGGGAGCCGAAAGCAGCTGGCCCCGGCAAGTTTTAAGGGCAGATCTGCGCAGCCTACTGCAGGCCAGCCAGCGCCGACCTGGCCAGCCCAGAGCATGGCAGTCAGCTCAGCCGTTCTGTTAGCGCGCTCGAGCTACGTGCGCGTAAGCTCACGTGCCAGCTGCCGCGAGCCGGCCGTCATGCGCGAGCCAACCACGCCGTTGCAGGCCGCCAGCGCAGCCGTCCTGCTCGCCAGGACTTTCCCGCCTTGCAACGTGGCGGGGAAGGGGTCGGATGTGGGGTGGGTTTGGAAGCGGACGCCATCGGCAAGTTAAGGCATAGAGCCGCGCGGCCATATCTAGGCCAATCGGTGCTGACTTGGTATGCTTATCGGATTGTGCAATGATGCCTCAGCCGCTGTCTCAGCGCGATCTAGCTTAGTCCATCTGGGGGTGGGGTGTGGGTTTAAGTGGAGGAGTGGGAATCGGGACGACTCAGCAAATTTCAAGCGTAGATCTGCACAGCCTACTTACTCTAGGCCAGCCAACGCTGATCTGGGCAGCCTTTCAGAGCCTTGCAGATAGCTCAGCTGTCTG